CTGCTGAATCTATGTACTGTCGTTTCCACAGGTTTAAAGTAGGTGTAGAATGCTATGGGATGAGACTGGTACTATTTTACACCAAACGTGTATCCAGGTAAATGACTACAGAAGGCATTGGAGAATCAGACCACTCCTGTTACTGTGACTCCTTCCTTGCAGAGGATTCATAGCTCCATTCCTTTGTTTCTTGTGTCATCTTTTATATATGCAAAGCAGGTGTAAAACTAACAAATTAGAACTATCCCATTTTATAAGTCTGTATGAGTGTAGAGTTGGCAAGGACTTATCAGAAGAAAATGCTGAATGCAGCAAAAGCAAAACTTTGGAGAAAAAAAATGCCAGCTTTGATAAATTCCTTCATGTGAAACAGCTCAGGAAAAAAGTTCTGCAGTTGTCAAAATCTCTTATTTTGCCTTCTCCAGAATGAAATGTTTTGAGGTTGAGTTCAAAACTAGTTTATTTCAAAAGTTCAGTTACTTTATATTCAAAGAGGTAAATACCTTAAAAAGATAAAAGTCTTTAAAGTCTAAATTAAACATTTCTAAATTAAACATCTGAATATCATCAAAATGTTTTGCTTGACCTCATCTGATGGGGTTTTTTTCTATTGTTGGTTCATGAACATTTCAACAACTTCAATTTTGCATCTCAATTCAGGACAGAAAAATTTTTTGAAATCTTGAAAATTCTCACCAGAGAGAAAAATAGTTTCTCAGCAGCTGTAGGTGTAACCTACACCACCTTGCACAGGACGGGGAAGAATCAGACAGTCCATTCCTGTGTATTCACTGCATAGGTAGCCTGAGTGACCAGCACTCTACTACTCTGAGAATGCAAGATAACCTAAATCAGTTATGAATTGCAAAAACAGTGTCCTCACTATTGCTGCCCTCCATTGCGTGTCTCTTGGACTTCTAGGGGTATACCCCATGCCCATTCTTTATGCTGCAGTAAGATAAGCTACTTTGCAGATTGAATTGCAAGAGAACTTGTTTGCCTTTCTAGGCAAATTGTGTGAAGAAAGTATCCAAGATGTAACCCAGACTATCAAATCTGTCAGATGGCCAGGACTTAAAGTGCTGTTAAACTTAGATTAGAGGTGAATGAGCAGAAGCAGGGATTAGAGGCACTGGCCAAGTAAAGACATGTTGGAGTACATGGGTCATTTGATCCAGCATTGAAACGTAGCCATTAAAAGGGTGAAGCAAAGCAGCTAATTTCCATCAGCATGGCACAAAAGTATTTTGGAAATGGGGGCTGGAGGGGAGAGCATATAAATGGTGTAAACCACTGAAACTACAAGATGAATGCTAATTTTCTGAGCTGGACAGGACACATTACTTTGTGAAAATTGCTGTGGTTTTCAAAAGGCTCAAGAAGGCCTAGTTAAAAGAAACATACAGTAGCTTACAAGGAGGAAAAGAATCCACATGGTAATGCTCAAAGTTTATACTGCTCTCTTTCATTGGGAAATGGTGTGGCATCCTGCTCACCTTTGATTAATGGTAAATTGCCTTTTGATGTCAATGGTAGCAGTGACAGGCCTGTTGTCTTCATTCTCATGGTCTATTCAGGAAGCAGAATTCTGCCTTTGAAGCTTACAAACCACTTGCTGTATAACTAATTGAAATTAGAGACCAAAGGGATACCCCATATTTTTAAGCTCTTTGCACGTGGGCCACATGTATTCACAAAATCAAAGAATCAAGGAAAAATAGGGCTGGAGGGGACCTTGAGAAGCCATGCAGTCCAAACCCTTGCTCTAGGCAGGCCCGTACTTATTTAAACCATTTCAGACAAGTATTTATTGGTTTAATCTACTTTTAAAAACTTCCAAAAATCACGATTCCACAACTTCTCTAGCTAATTTTTTTTCAGGGCTTAACCACCCTCATAATAAGTTTCTTCCCAATGTCCAGCCTAAATTTTCTCTGTTGCAATTTAATTAAGACTACTATGTCTTGTCCTATCCCATGCAGCCACAAAGCCCAGAGTCTTTCTCCATCTTCATTATCACCACGTTTCAGGTATTTGAAAACTGTATTGCCCTTTTCTTCTCCAAACTAAGCTGTCCCAGTTCTTCCAACTTTTTCTTTTAAGTCATGTTTTCTAGACCACTAAACATTTTTGTTGCTTTCTTTTGGACTCTTTTTAATTTACCACGTTTTTCTTGAAGTGCAGTGGCCAATAGAAGTAGCATTTCTCTGAACACTCCTTGTTGAGTTCTTCAGTAATAACTACATGCAGAACTCAGGCAAACGACTGGGTTCTAGCAGGAATATTGACCTGCACATCTTGCATCGGGAAGTCCTTGGTTTATGGACAGAAGGTACATAACAAGTGGTACAAGCTTTCCTCATGCTACTGTGCTTTAACCCTGGCCTGGTATGGGGCAAGAGCAATTTATTCTGCTGACCAAATCAATCCATGACCTCCCTGATCAGACTACCAGCATAAAGCTCATTTCAGTGGTGGTTTGTCTGATGTGGCCTTCAATGGGAAAAATACGAAGCAGGAAGTATAACAACATGTGCATGGTATCATATAGGGTGGCTTTTCTTACTGAAGAATTCACTGCAACAAGACAAATATAAACAGAATGAGGTGTCAACCCAAGCCCTTACAGATTTTTGCTAAAGGAAATTCTTGTCTTTGAAAGAACTGTTATGGTCTATTGGATAAATAAGATGAGTTTAAAATTACCCTGGAATGATGTTTACATAATCATCTGTAATGCTTCCAAAGGAGCTATTAGTGTCAATTGGATGAATAAATGTTTTTTGGAACATGCACTCTCCACAGAAAAATGCAAGCGTTTTTATTAACGCCCTGTCGTATGGATTTCAAATCTATATTGTAACAAGTTATCAGATAAAGAGGCATGTGCAAATTGCCTTCATTAGATACAGTACCTCCAAGACAGTGCGTTGGATTGATTTATGCAAATTGCCACCTCTCCTTTCTCTCTCCCTTCCCCTCCCCACAAAAAAGGTTGATCAGTTAAATGAGTTGGATCAACTATGGCACTTTCCAAGTGAAATGCCTCCCCATTCAGAGGGAGATTGGCATGAGAGGACTGAACATTTTGGCCATGACCAAAGGGCAGACTAGTATCCACCAGACTTAAAAATGGTCAACCTCCAGTTTGAAGTAATGGCCTAGCTCCTACAGATCAGATTTGTGATAGTCATGGCTTCCACAGACTAGGCACAGAGGCAATATGTCATACACATGAAATAGGCATACAAATGCACCAAGAACTGTTCTCAAGGAAGCTGATTCTTCATCCTGTTTAGCTCAGGGTTAGTTTAAGCCCTGAAGTATAAGGGATTGTATCCCCACCACATCTTGTGTTTAGTATGTGCTTGTTTTCCTCATGTTTTCTATTGTAAGTCTTGTTATCTGTGCACGTCTCAATCTGTTTAGTGGGCTCCGGTACAGCAATGCTACCATCTGGAGGAATTTACAATTGACACACAACATTCCTACGAACTATCCAGGCCAATGCCAAGAAAATAACAACCAAAATTGTGAGATTGCTCAGGATTGTTCAAGTCTCTCCTTGGCCAGAAAGAAAATGAGTGACTTCTTGTCGCAGAAAGATCCTGCTAACTAGAAATACCTTGAATCTGTTTGTATGAGCCGCTGTTTCACATTCCCAGTGTTTCCGTTAATTCAAACTGAACGACACAAAACATTGGAAAAAATGTAGCAAAGGGAGCGATCTTGTACAAGCGGCAGAATAGAGCGCATGACTTAAAAGCTATTTTGCATCTCACATCTTGCAATTCTATAACTCGCCTGTTTTCAGGTGAAAGAGGAATTCTTACCAGTCTGTGGGATCCTTTTCTCCATCTGCACCACTGCTGGGCACCTGAATTGTGTGGATAAAGAGACCCTGAAACTCACCCTTCTTTGTAAAATCAAACTCAGCTGTCTAGTGTTTTCACTCACCCAGTTTTGTCGAGAGCAAGAGTGTCCAGTTGAACGGACATGAAAGTTTGCATCGTTTCAGCTGAGCTCTCTCATGCTCCAGGCCTCCACCTCCAACTCATCATGCAGCTCAGGAGAATGTCAGCCGGTGACAACATTTAAAAAAAAACACTGCATGCATCTCCTGTTTTCCTCAAAGGCCTCTAGTAAAAGCCAGACAGACTCTTCTCCTTTGCAGGAAAGAACAAGAGAAAACATAACAGAAACTGTAATTACTCATCAGCTAAAAAGGAAGGTGATGCTCTCTCCACCCTCACATACAAAATGACTGCCTGTAGGCAGCAGGCCTTTGTCATACAAAGATTTAAAGGACTAGCTAGGAGAAAAATGCCCGTCTCCAGTTGCCCTGCAAAGAGCCTGAGCGTGCTTTCATTTATATTTGTTACATGCAAGCATAAGGGCATTCACCTCTGCAGTTTCATAGATTCATAGATGCTAGGGTTGGAAGGGACCTCAATAGATCATCGAGTCCGACCCCCTGCATAGGCAGGAAA